CCCCAAAACCCCAAAACCCCAAAACCCCAAAACCCCTGAATTACCTATTTAGATTGAACAACTTTTGAGAAATAGCATACCTAGTAAAGTGCAAATGGAACTCTGATGATGTCTTTCTCAATTTTAATGCTTTCGAAGATCATAGCTCTCCATACATTAGTGACAAACTGACCTGCTTCCTCATCTAGTACCTTTTTAAGCTTCTTCTTGAGGTCTTTGGGCTGAACTTTCTTCTTAAGTTCTTCTATAACGAACTGGATAAGATTTTCTTCTTCCACATTGAGGATCTCTTTGACTCTCCTCCCGATTATCTTTCTAATGATGACTTCTATAACATTAAGAGAGATGAGGCCATCCCAGTTAAGGTTGAAGGCGAGGATCTCATCGTCCTTTTTAGGTAAGGATTGATAAATCTCCTTTAATTTCTTGATCAGTTCTTCTCTGTCCTCTTCTTCATACTGCTGTTCAGCCTCTTGCTTCTTCTTGGCTGCCTCTTCTTCGATCTGTTTACGCTTCTGTTCCAAGAAGGCAAGGTTTTCATTTAATGTGCTATCTTCTGTCTTGAGTAATGTTGCTGGTCCCTCTATATCTTCAGTTACAGCTTCTTTAAACTGAGCAGCTACTTCAGATCTCTGATGCATCTGTGGAGGTGGCGGAGGTGGATTAAAGGCTGGTGCAGGCTGGGGGACATCTGTTTGAGCCTGAGGCATTGGAGGTGGAGGAGGCAGGTTTGCTATGAAAGTCAGAGAATTAGCCCTACCTGGATTCATTTGATTTGGCATGCGTAAAGGAATCATCCCTGGGTTAGAATTTTGCTGAGGGAAGAAAGAAGCGTTATGTGCTAATGGCTGAGGGGTGTTTGGGTCTAACTGTTGATTTTGATTATTTACATCCGTCATTTCGACATCTTTATTAACATTTGAAGGGGTTTCAGCCTCCTTCTTAATTTTACTGATCTCTGTAAATCTAGTTTGGGCTCTATTCTTTCTCTCTTCTTCTCTTTTTAACTCTTCTATCCTTTTCTTTTCTTCTTCTATTTTACGTTCCTCTTCTTCCTTGATCTCTTGGATTTCTCTGAGTCTGTCTTTCTCATCAAGTTGGGCTTCTCTCTTTCTTCTTTCCCTTTTCTTTTCTAAAATTTCCTTCTACAAAAACTTACCTTTGCTGCTTTTTGAGAAATAAGGGCATGAAGAGTGGTACTTATCTTCGTGTGGATCATACTCTAAATCTCTTTTAATTAATTCTTGGAGGTCAGCTTCCCTTCTGGCTTCCTTCTGCTTCTCCTTTAACTTGGCCTCTTCGTACTTGATTTCTTTGGCTTCCCAGTTTCGTCTGAGTCTTTCATATTTTTGTATTTTATCTTTCTCTAATTCGAGGAATCTACCCTCTCTTTCGATTTCTTTTATGTGAGGTTTATACCTCCTGGCTTGATCTAAAGTTGTGGCTGACCTGTAGTCAATGCTAGTCATGGGGCCAACATTTTGCTATACAAAGGTATAAGGAGGTTAAATACATACAGACTAGCTGGCAATTATGTTTATAGATGCCTCTTCCACCAGTTCTACAAACGTTTATAGGATAGCTAGCTTTCACTATTATCTTACACAAATAGTGTTAGTATGGAAGTGAAATGCAAATAAGCTTACCTCTCCTTGGCTACCTAGGATTTCTTGGAATTTAGCCTGGATGTCACCTGCATATTGACCTATGAGCTCTTCTATCCATGGCATGATTTGGTTGTTACGCTCTTTTTCTTCTAATTCTTCCAAATTTACCTCCTTTTCGAGTCCTTTTTGTTGGTTGAGCCACTCTTGTTTCTTCTCTTCAATCCAGTTATTAAGATATTCTTTGGTCTTTGAGTCACAGTTGACCTATTGAGTTATGATTAATGAGGTGTGAAAGCTTACCATTAGTTTGTTCTCACCAACCTTGAGTTGATTCATTGATTTGAGGCAGACTACCGCTCCTTCGACCTCCTCATATTCTCAGTATCCGAAACTTTTTGGCTGATTGCTAGCGTTGATAGCTCTTTTCCAGTATTCGACTGTTCCACATGCCTTGAGTAATCTTTCGATCAAAGTATCTTTTATGCCAGTTGGGATCTTTCCTATATACAACTTTTTGTAAACTTCTGTGATCTTTTGATTTTGAGCTTGAAGCAGGTTTTTAGCGTAGGATTCTCTCTTCTCAGTTGGAATGATTGGATCCAAGAAATTATAGTTCTTTCCGTCATCTCTCCTGCCTGCTGGCTGAGAGCCAGCAGGTACTGGAGCTGCAGAGTAAGTCTGCGTGAAACTTCTGTAGCTGTAATCTCCACCTGGAGGAGGATTCATTGATCCAGGATTGGATGGAGGCATTCCATGTTGCCCATCAATTCTGCTTCCTGGATATTGCATCGAATGTGGAGGGTATCCTCCAGTAGGAGGATATCCCCCCTGTGGAGGCTGATAACTTACTTGGGGAGGATAACCCATATTATTTTGTGGATACCCCTGATTCTGCATATTCTGATAGTTCTTTTCCGGATTATTCCAGTCAGTCATTTTAAATTAAAATTTATAGGTTTGGCAAATTAATGGGGTTTTGGGGTTTTGGGGTTTTGGGGTTTTGGGGTTTTGGGG